GCAGAATTGACTTTTTGTCACTGTGGGTCCCTGCACCAGCTTCCTGCAGGTTCAGACAAGTGCCTCTGCCAACAATGTGGAAAGCAACTGGAGTGGGACTGTCCTGATATGCCATCTTAACCAAATCACCTACTTCACAGCCCAGAGGCTGAGGAACACAAAAGGACCACAACTCGTGTTATGTCCACCTTGTGGGACACAGTGTGGCCTGCTGAGCCCCTCATCCAGGCTGAGCAGATGCTGCACAGGGCTGAGCCCAATCTAGTTTTTTTCTCATGGTAGCCAGAGTGGAAGGAACATGCCTGGGTCTCACCCCAAAGAAAAGATGACATCTGTTTTTAGCAGCTGCGGACTGTTGTTAAGGTGCAGCCACAAGTCTCTCAATTAACTATGAGGCCAACTAGGGAGGAAGGTAATGCAGTCTGAGCGCTGTAAAGGAGAGATATGTGGTAAGGTGGCAGGGATATTGAACACAAAGTGGTCTTAAGTTGTTGGCCCTGGGTCAGTGTGTTTTCCATGAGGTCTTTGGAGGCAGGAAGGACGTATAGCTAAAGAGTCTGAGCTCATAGCGGAGGGGCCAAGGAAGAGTAAAGGTGGCAATCACAAAGTCGAAGATGCAACATTGGGTCATTGTTTGGGTTTGTACAGCAAAGAGCAAAGCGTAGCTTGCTGCATGTCACCGACTCCTTGCTGGCTGTGTCAGCCAGCCTTTGACTGGCTCACTGGGATGCCAGCAGCACCCAGAAGCTTGTATTTTGGTGGCCAAAGGTAACCCTGCAAATTGACCACAGAGTGAGTGCACTTGAAGAGACTGTTGGGAGCTGCCAGCATGCAGTGACTTGTGCATGGTGTGTTGGTGGTGTGTCACGAGGCTGAACACAGTTCAAGTCTTTAATAAACATACCATGCTCCCTGGGAAGTTCTCTGGGCAGCTCTGCTCTGCGCATTGCTCAGAAAACACAGGATCGGTATAAAAAGACCCATTACACGTGGTTTTTAAGAGTTACTGCATATGCCAAGGACCATTCACAGTCTGCATAGAACAGAGGCAAATCACCTAGGAAGTCACGGGTGGGCAGCATTTGTAGAATGGAAAAATAATCCTGCATTACCAGGGTGTTAAAATCCCTGTCTCATGCAGTGCAGATCATGTTCAGCAGAACTTGATGGCCATCTACTGGCGAAACCCCAGTCGGTGTTACACTTTGCAGACTTTTTTGCATCCGAGAGACAAACACTTGGCCATGTGTGAGTAGCAAAGATGTATGTTTTCACTTCTAGCTGGAAATAACACAACTGAATTTTTATGAATCACCCTAAAAGCTCGTGTTGGTTTTACTCATTTCACCTTACCAGCCAAACTGACTACAGGTGTTGCAGCTGCTCATGTAGGCAGCCAGCAGCCTCCCAGGATTCCTGTTAAGTGTAACAATTTCTGTGCTAACATAGAAATTACACTGGTTTTAGAAATAATGAACTGCAAATAAATAAATGTCAAGCTGACAGGTCAGAACCCAGTTTTCTTCTTTGTTAAATTCTTTCAAACTTGATGTATCAGCAGTAAGTTGATACATCCTGAAATTTCACTGAGCTATTATGTGTGGGGTCAGTCCTATTGTTAAAGCCCACCTTGAGCCTTAAAGGCTGCCTGAGATCTTGGCCATGAACAGGAGAACTGGCAGCTCTTCCTCTGGGCACCTTAGTAGCTCTTGGCTGATGACAGGTTTCCAGGTCTTCCCTCTGAGCAATCTGCGAGGGACACTTAGATTTGAGAGAGGCCGCTACACTATGGTTTGCTTGGACTTTGATTTAGTGGAGTTTTTTTGGTAGGTTTTTTGGGTAGTGTTTTTTCTTTATTTTATAGAATTTTGAAACATTTTAAACAAGAAGGAAAAAGAAGTCAGTTAAAAAAATAAATACCTATGAGTTCCCTAACACATCCATGCTCAAAGTCTTCATCTACCATGGTGCTGTCAAACAGTAGTTTCTGGAACTCTGTGCTGACCAGAGCCGTCTGGCAAAACCTCCATGGCCTTTAAAAGGCACAAAACATGCTTTTGAGGACTTCTTTTAGGTCTGTGTGGTCAGAGAGAGTGTTTTGTAGAAATTACTTGAAAAAGAAGATGTTCCTTTACTGCTGCATGGCGAAGGGAAAGAACATGAGCAAATCAGCTGGAAGTTACTGTGGGAGGGACTAACCTGAGGAAGCTCATAAAAGCACTTAGTGCTCTTTTTAGGGCTTTTTGTGGTATCTCAATTTTTAAAAAGTTACACAGCTTTTGATAGACTAAAACAAAGCTGGTGCTATCAGGTAGATTCTGGCTCCTTTTCCACCAGGGAGCATGTCTGCACTATGGGGTCCCCCTGTGCCACAGGAGTTAGAGTGGCAGAAGAAAATCGCTTTGGATGTACACTCTCACTTGCCATGTGAGTCTCCTCTGGTGATTAGTTTATCATTTAGTCTGCACTGCTGCAAAGGAAAGACGTGAGGTTGCGTTTGCTGGTTCTGGCTGACAATAGCTTTTCTCCTTGGTGTGCTAAGTAAGCGATGACTCTGAAGCTCTCAGGGGTTAGTGACAATGCACATCACCTTCTGTGGCTTATTCTGTTACTCTTCCTCCTCTGGAATAGGTGGGGTCCTTCACTTTTTATAAAGGGAGCAATCCAGTTAAGAAGCAGCAGCATTGATCATGTGCCTCATTCACGGCACTGCTTTATGCTGCTCTTTCCTGTATAAATACCTGGGAAAGCACAGAGCACTTCCCAGCAGTGAGATCACTTTCTTGTATGTGACAAATAGCTTTTATGAGGTGCTGACTCTTCTCAAGGTTCATTTTGTCTCCAGGCTGGAAATTGCAGCAGAGTTATAAGCTTGATCCTCCTCCCATTTAAATGGGCTGTACTATCCAGGATCTGAACACTCTGTTATAAAACAGGCTTTTAAGACAGGTCATAAATCATGTGCAGTGAAAATTATGCACAAATATTTATTTTTAAAGATAAAGATTTTCTGGTCTTGAGTACTGGATTTTGTATGTTCAGTATTGAGCTTTAACAGTTGATTTACACATTCACTTTTATTTCAGATGATGGGATGTTTAAAAAAACAAACAACTGGAGTAGTGAGACCATTCTCAGTGAATCATCTAACCCAAGACTTTTATTTGCTCTGAGATGCAGATGCTTAAACACAATTCCTAAGCCATTTCTATAAGAGCTAAACATATCTGTATTCCAGTCACATAGTTAAAGTGCTAATGTGTCTTACTCTCTTGCGGACAACTTTTCACTAGTTAATGGTGATATAACATCCCTTTGTCCACTTCTTTCTGCATTTCAGAAATTCTCTGCGCACCCATTTGCACGCATCATATTCTAGGCAAAAATAATTACTCTGAAAAATCTCTTGCCTGAAAGTGAAATATGAATATATATGAAGTGTTAAGAGAGAAAGAGGACTATTGGAAAAAAATACCTTTTTCTTTTTTAATAATGCTTTAAATTAGGGTTGTACTATAAAAATAGTCAAACAAAAAGAAGAATGAGTAATTCAGACTACCATTAATTCAAGGCTTAAAGGTTTGCATGCAGAGAATTAGAACATCTCTGAAATCACATGGTAATTGTGTGAGATGCTTTATGCAAAGTTTTAACCCAATATAAATAGTCCTCAGCAAATTCTGGAAATCTCTAGGAGTTAAATTTATTCTGGAACAGCTATAGCTGTAACAGTAGTGGCTGTTGTAACAGGAGGTTGCTAATTGGTGTTAACACAGGAGCTTCTCAGCGAATGTATCAACATCAGTGCTTCTTTCAAATGCCTTTCTTAGTATGATAGCTTCACCAAAGGCTCATGCTTCTTTTCATTCAAATTGATCTTAAGAGTCTAAAAGAGTTGACTAATGAATCTGTAGCTCATTTAACTTGAATGTCAATAAATCTGGGAAGCCCCAGAAATCTGAGGAAGGCCAGTGTTGTTCCAGTACTTAAAGTAGCTAAACAGGTTAGTATAACTGGGTTAAGGTGATTGTTGTGCGACATAGTCATGGTGAGGCTGATAAGATGATCAGTTAATAAAAATTTATGGCTGGGTAGTATAATTAGTGGAAGTCAATGAGGGTTTGGATCTTGGCCCACCAACTTGGTAATAGTTTATCTAACCAAGCCAAATGCATTGCTGTAGCAGACTTTTACAAGTATTAGACTCAGTATGCACTGTATTTAGAATATCAAGCAACATAACTTCAACATTATATTTTTAATTGCTTAAAATTGGGATAACTGATAGGCCTTAAGACATTGCTGTAAATGGAGTATCTTTGATGAGCATTTGAGTTTCTCTGGGGATTGTTCTCTGGCCCTGTGCTAGTAAACTTCATATATCAGTGATCTGAATGGAAAATAAAATTCTTTGGCTTGCAAGTGGTAGGTAGATTGAGAATTATTAAATAAGAAAATGGAAAAATCACTGCTGCGTGGTGATATGGATCTGTTAGCAGTCTTTATTCAAGCAAATAACAGGTGTTTGGCCTAATGCAAGGATCCATAGTCCAGATCTGGGTATTGGAAACACTTTTTCATAAAAGGTTTCAGGCTTTTTATCTGTTTAAAGTTGTCAAGGAGAAGTTATGGAGGCTATATATAAAGTTGTTTAGAAAACAGAGTTCAGTGAGCTTGTACTTGGACATGTGTCAAATAGAAATAGAGCTCAGATAAAGTCAGGCTACTTCATTATTGGAGCAGTGTTTCAAGGATCGTGATGCTTTTTTTAGGGCAATAAGCACCTCTAAATCAAGACTTAAGTTATTTCATATTGCAAAATATGCTCTAGTTTTAACACTGATTGTTTCAAATACGTGCTGTGAACTACATTATAGAAAGGGAAATAATTAATTGTGTGTGTCACTTTTCTCACAGTCATATGTTACAGCTGATTTTTTGGGGCCCAGGATGTACACTATGCTCTTGCTTCATTTCTTTGTTTCTGTTCTGTTTTTCAGTTCAATTTCACCATTCAGTATTGAGAGCACAAGGCGTCAGAGAAGGTCTGAGTCTCCAGACTCCAGGAAGCGGCGCATCCATCGGTGTGACTTTGAGGGATGCAACAAAGTATACACAAAAAGTTCCCACCTGAAGGCTCACCGGAGAACACACACAGGTAAGACTTTGTTGGCACTGTGCACCATGGTTAAGACAAGCAGGTTCCTCTCTGCCTAATTTAGGACGTATTGAGCTTGTTGTCCTACACTAAGGGCCAAAGGCCTTTAAATAACAGAGATCTTTGCGAGTGAATCAGCACTGGCATTCTGGGGCCGATCAAGAGTGTCCCTGTCATCCCCCCTTTGGCAGTACTAGAGTGGTGTCAGCACAAACCAGACTCCTCTCCAATGAAACTAAACAGAAAAGTAGCCTTCAGGGACATCACCTACTGTGCCTCAACAAACAATGGGTGGTCATTGCTTGGGATCAACCAGAGCTAGTCCAAAGAAAACCCTCCAGAAGAGCATATAATGCAGTCATGAATCTTCAGCAGCATTTTTTCACTCTACAGATCTGCTCAGGTCGAGCTACTACTTGCTTTTACAGATGTAGCCTTTGAATGCCAGGTGCTCCTGAGAGCCTTCAGTTCAGCTCAAGTGTAAACTCAACTCCTCAGTATGTCTTTCTGGAAGGCTTTAGGGAGCATCTACCCCATACTGGAGAGGGAAGTCAGTCACTGTATGAGAATAGGTTGTACTAGGTCCCTACAGCAGAGGTGCAGGAGAGGTGCTTAGAGGCGCTAGGTCCCATTCAGTGATGATAATAGTTAACACTTAGTCAATACCTGGTGTCCTTATTAACTTTGTGGACTGTTAGTAGTCTGTATGACAGGCATGTAAGGGTAGTTGAAGCAGTGATGATGTAATAGTTGTAATTTTATTGTGGATAAACTCAGGAGCAGCAATTTGAAATACTAAAGAACAGTTTAAAAGGGGCTCGATTGGATGGCTGGAAAGGCAGTGGACAGAACACTCTGAGTCTCAGTGCTATTCCTTACTCTGCTACTGATTTGCTTAAATTTATTGATCTCTCTGCTCTTAATGGACTTCAGCATTCTTGTAACTCTTGGAGAAAAGATGGTGTTTATCCAGCATGTAGCACAATGTTGTTCTTTGCTGAGAATCTGCTGGCACTTTTTGTGGTGTGATGTACTCTAAGGAGTATGAGATATTATTTTAAAAAATTAAGTGATGGCTTCTCCATTTCAATTGAGGCCATGTCTCCATCACTCTTTCCAATATGTCTTTTGGTTGGTAGGACTTTTGTTGAGAGGAATTCTGAACAAGGCTCCATCCTAGTACCCCCTACTAAACCAATTTCGGTAAGGTAAGAGTCCCTTCCTTATACAGCAGAAATGTTGTGTTGATCTGGAAATTTCATTACATTTCCCTCCAGGCCAATTTTCCTGGTTTCTCCATATCTTCCCATTAATGCTTGTGCCTTCTGCTCTCTCATGATTTATAATTCTTGTCTTAATTCTTTTTTCTTTTTCCCTATTCTTTCCCATCTTCAATGTGGTTTTTCATCCCTACCCTTCTAATATATTTTATATACCCTTACCCTTTCACTTTGTTCTCTGTCATTCTTGTTTTACTTCTTTTATCCCAGTCTAACCCTACTCCATCCCTTTCCTTCTTCCCTGCCCTGATTTCTATGTTGTTTCCTTTTCTTGCCTGTACAGCCCTTTGAGCATTATAAAGCTGTAGCAGATTCAAAGTCAGAGAGCCCAACAGAGACATAAGAACAGTAGAGTGTTTGGTTTGAACCAAAAATACCGTTTATCTGCTTATACCATTGGGAAGTCACTCTTTTCTAACCTGCAAGACTGGCAACCAGCCCAGGAGTATAAGCAATCGTCGTGTAAGGAGCTGAGTTACAAAACTAGATGTGAACAACCTCAGAAATGTCATACCCAAGTTAACCCAGAAACAGAGAAGGCTCTTCTCTGCCATGCCATTTTAAAACACTGAGAATTATATTTGTTGTGAGTCTAATTCTTTAGTGATTTCATGGGACAGACCAGAGCTTGCAGGTAATGCACCCAAATCAGTGTTAAATAGTCAACACTGCTGAATCCCAGACTGTGCACTTAGAATGCTCAAAACTAGATACTGAAGGCTTGAAAATGGTGTAGGTAATTACAGCTTTAGTGTCTGTAACTCTCCAGGCAGCATGAAGGGAGTTTGTCTACCTGCTGTAATTGTAGGATCTGTCTCGTCAGCCTTGGTTTCCTGGCAGCTGGGTGTCAGGGCTATGCTATCTGTCTGGGATCTCTGGGTAGTCAGAGGAGAGGGATTGGCACCTCTGGGACATGTTATTCCCTCTTCATGTATACCCAGAGATTGGCTTGCAAAGGTGCTTTTCTTCCACTGCTGAGTACAGAGGAAACATGGGTACCTGCCAGGCTGTTAGCTGGCTGAAATGAATCTCCATGCCAAAAGACAGCTGCCTGTTTTGCAGTTATGCTGGAAGTTGGTTTATTACTTCAGAGAAAAAGAGAAGTAACATCAAATAAAAAACCTTGATTAAATGGTCAGCTGACAACTGCTTTATATTGACATTACAACAGGCATGATGAAAGAAGTGTAGTCTAGAAGATGAGAACTGAATTTAGCCAGTGGATCCAGTGAGAAAATCTGTATCATGCTGTTAAAATTAAATGCATTTTACTGAACACTTCTCAGTCTTGGTAAGAAGTTGATATATTCAGACTTACGTGCAGCATCGGCCATGAGTGTACTCCATGTACTAATCTCATCTTACGTTTTTTATCTTGGTCTTTACTTTTGCTTCAGGCAAAAGAAGTCAATTATTCACGTATGACCCACAGTAATTAGTGCAGTTTTGGATAAGTATAAATGAAGTATGACAGCTATGCATGCAAGGGTGAGCAAGTTTCAGTAGGAAACTTTCTGAGAAAAGATCACAGAAACTCAGAATTGCATAATCTGGAGGTGTTTTTTTTTTTTAGGCAGGCTGCTCTTGCTGACAATTGTTTACTTAAGCAGGATGTATTTGAGAACATTTGGGGTTTTTTCATTTACTCAATGATCTCTAAAGGTCTTTTCCAACCTAAACAATTTTCTGGGCATAGCCACTAAAACATTCACAGTAGTTTGGATACAGGAGGAAAAACAACGTGGTATTTTGACAGGATGAACAGCTTTGTTGGTTGAAAGGTATACTTCTTTACACCTTAATTAAAAATGGAAACACAGTAATATAGATGGTAACAGTTGCATTTAATTCTCTTGAAGTAATTCATAGCTTTTTAAGGTATGCCATTGTCTAGTTTCCCAATACTTGTCACCAGTGTCCTCAGATCTTAGTGTACTGGCGTGGGCAGAGAGTCCACTGGGGGGCGAACTTGAATTACGTATCTTCTCTCTGACTAGAAAAACTGCAAGTGAAACCTGTAATAGTTAGACCATTTCATAAATCACAAACACTGGTATTAAATTTCCCATTCTAGTATCAGCTTCTTGTTGGTGTTTTGCCAGATCATCAAATAAAGCTATCAGTAGGTATCGGGTGTGATGGAGAGCCTTCGGGGCTTGCAGGCAATCTCGCAGCTCAGGTTTGTCAACTCTTTCTGCAAGGAGAAACTGTGAGAAATTGACTCACTGGAGTTGTGTTGAGTTAGTTTCTGCTTCAGTGAACTTAAAAGAAAATTACTAATGTGTGACTCCACAAAGGAATAATCTTGAGAAATGGGAAAACCAGCAGCCGTGGATTGCATTCCTGGTTTGCGTACATCTGTGTTGCACTTGGCATAGGTGGTGGTGTCTGCCCCGGGAATGGGGAGAGTGTAACTGCTGTTCATGTGAGGTCTGCACCCATGCAGCCCTGGTGGGACTCACCTTCTTCAGTTTACTGCTTTTACTTGGAAGATGGAGAGGGAAACATCCGTAGCACTATTTTATGATCTCTAGTGGCTATTTCAAGCCTTTTTTAAGCACTACTAAAGTTGGCGTTGACACTTCCAGTAGGACAGCTGAGCATTACAGACTCAGTAATAGTTGTTCCTTCCACTGTGTGAACATCTAAACATCTGAAGATGCTTGAGGTTAAATCCAGTTCTAGCTCATTGTGGCTATCCTCTTACCTGTTATATGGAAAAGCCCAAAGGGTTTAAAATATTGTGTGAATCACCATGAAGAAGTCAACAAAGAAAGAAGATGCCCGCTTTGAGGTTATGTAGAACATAATTTTACCATGTCTGATACACAAGAGATTATTCCCTGTCTCTCACCTCTATAGGATTTTCTTTTACTGTAGTAGTAATCAGCATTCTGTATTTCTATGCAACCTTATTTTAGTCATTAGTTACAAATTTCTGGAAGAATGTGACAGAGTGGCTTTCTGGGGTCAGTGGCAGCAGAAGCCTAGGACTTTCCAGTTGGCATGAAGTGGGAACAGTCCATGAGTGTAGGGCATTGTATATCCACAGACATGGCTTTGCTTCTGCCTCGGAGGAGTGAAGGAGTGGAGGAGGGCAAGGTCTGTAACCACAGCACCTTCTGTGGGAGCTACAACTGCTCCTCTTCATGCATGAGCCCACACTGGCTCTGAATCACCCTTGTCAGTGCTGCTGCTGCAGAAGATGGGTCTGCTTTTTCAGGCTCTTACAGAGGCAGGCTGAATATAGCCCTCAGGCCAAGTGAATTTTTTAGTGTTTGGTGCTTTGTTCCTTGATCAACGCCTATATCATTCCTGAGAGATGAGAGCAAATACCTTTGCCACAGATGTAATGAAGCCTATTTGTCAGTGTCAGGGGGTCTTCAGCAGTGTTATATGGAGACAGTAAACATGTCAGAAGTACAGATTTGTACCTGAGAAAATGACAGCATTCCCTCCTCAAGATGTTCCTTTATAGCTGGTTGAGACACCACCCTAGAAGAAAGAGGGCTAGTGAGTACATGGGTGTTTTATTTAGTCTCTGCTTTTTCAAACATTGCATTCCTCTCACTCACTGTTGCACCATATATTATTTTAATATGAAAGGGCCCCTGTCATTAGCCTTTGTTCACATTTTCCTTTGAGCACTTTCAGAATGGACTTAAGAAGTCGGAGGCACCAAGAAAGTTATTTTTGTTCTGTATGCTTTTAAACTTCATT